AGTCATTGTTAACCCTTTAAAGCCGGTCAGAGCAGCACGCTCCGTTTTGCGTAACTATTTTTAAATCCCTGTAGAACCTGAACCATGTAAGCTAGCGCAATAATTTGTTTTGAATATGAAACCGGAGGAGTTGTACTTACATCTGATGCCATCAGCTTGTCCTCGGTCACGGTTTCGTTCCACATATAGCTTTGCAAAAATTGCATAAAAAGCACTTGCAGGAACAAAAACATAATATTCCAGAAACACGCTTTGCCGATCCATCAGCTGTTCGTAACACTTCCCACAGTGAAATGATGCACATGCTGTTTTCTTTGCAAATTTGCATCATAGGATTGTTTTTTGTTTTTCCTGCAGTATATAAAAATTGCTATATCTCCAAAATAAAACTATGAAGACACTCAAAATAAATTTCCTGTGGTGGGAAACTATTTTTTGCAACTTTATTGTATTTAAAGTTTTGAGGGATAAACCTCTTAAATTTCTCCAAGTAGAAATATATGTAAACAAAACAAAAGCAATTTTCAATTTTTTTTGTAGTTTATTGCACTTTTTTGCAATTTATGTAATTACTATGGACTTAATGCATACATATTATTAAAATATGGGCTATAACAGTTGTATTGATGTATAGCAACTTGAAATGCTCCCACAAATGGCACTACAGCATGTAAAAAAAATAATATAAGCTCTGGTGGACTTGGTTCTATAGTAGGTCTTAAAGAGTTAAATAAATATCGTCAAATAATCGTGATCTCAATTTCAGTGAAAATAATCGTGATTATCATTTTTGCCATAATCGAGCAGCCCTAGTACACGGCCAGCACTTATTTGTAATTCCTAATTTGTAAGTACCAAAAACAGCAGAGAAGACAAAAGCAAATGGTATACATGTCAAACACCAATCCACATTGAAGATCGAATCCAGAGATTGCCAGGAGGAGCCGATTCATAACAGTTATGGGCAACAGCTCAGAATGATAACAGTTAAGACAATGTGGTCAGGACCCAGGGTGTGGACTGTCCTTGTTAATGTGGTCTATAAAGGGACCCCATATCTTCCTGAACTTCTCCATGGAATCAGACGTAGAGAACCGAATTTCTTCCAGGTATAAACAGGAGACCATCTCCTCGAGCCACCTCTTGAAGCAGGGAGGGGAGGCAGATTTCCACTCCCCCAGAATCAGACGTTTGGCAATAACCATACCAAACATGAGGGCCTGTTGCACAGCAAAGGGAAGTGCCAAGGAGTTGCTGTAGCAGCCCAGGATCACCATAAGACAGTCAGGATACAGTTGCCTGTAGTAAACAATGCTATAGAAACTAAAAATATAAAAAAATCCAAAAGGCTGTAAGCGTAGAACAGAACCAAAAAAGATGGCCAAGAGATCCGTCCAAAAGTTTACATTTATCATATTTGGGGGAAACGTTAGGAAAAATCTTGTTCAATTTGGTTTTGGAATAGTGCAGTCTATGGACTACCTTAAACTGAATTAACTGAAGCCGGGCGTTAACAGAGCATAGTTTTATCGGGCTTAACACTTCAGCCCATAAATCGTCAGAGATAACCAAACCAGTGTCTCTTGACAAAGCCTCTTTAATATGGCAAGAGGGGGCTGCCAAAGAAAAAAGATTAACAAGCTGAGAGATTAAGTGTTTTGAGTTGGGAGGTTCGTTCATTATATTGTAAAAGACATGCTGTACGGGGATAGTATCTAAATTTGAGAATGCTTGCTTGACATAATTCCTAATTTGTAAGTACCGAAAAAAATGACTTGTAGGGAGGTTGTACTTTGTCTGAAGTTGAGCAAAAGAAGCAAAATGATTGTCAATATAAAGATCCTCTATAGCAGTCAACCTTTTAACAGGCCATTGTTTGAAAGCAGCATCCATTGTACTAGGCTTAAAGGTAGGATTGTGGCAGATCGGGGCAAAAGTTGGCATTTCCGGGAGGTTCAAGATTCTCTTGATTTGATTCAATATTTTTATAGAGTTGCAAAGAATAAAGTTATTACATGATGGTGTACTTTTAATAACCAGTTTTGAAAATAAGATCGTTGGCAAGGATGCTCCAGTGCGCTCGATAGCGGTGCTAAGCTCCATTTCGAGCCATTTAGGGCTGGACCCGCATTCCACAGCATCACCAACTATAGGCAGATTCCAGAAGACCCAGGCTCTGGCATTACAGGCCCAGTAATAATGTTTGAAAACTGGAAGGCCCAGACCACCCTCGTCCGTGGGCTTTTGCAAGTGAGACTTCGAGATGCGGGGGGGCTTGTAGGCCCAAACAAAAGGCATGATAATGGCATCCAACGCTTTGAAAAAGGAAGACCTGAGAAAAATTAATTAATAAAATTAATAAAGAACCTTGAACCTTGAACCTTGAAATAGAAACGTTCTGGAATAGGTACGTGAATTTAGGGAGCACAACCATTTTGATTATATTGATACGGCCAATCATTGAAAGTGGGAGACGTTTCCATTTATCTATCATACACTTGAGCTCATCAGTTAGAACCGAATATTAAGCCTGAAGAGGAGTTTTGAGTTCCTAGGGATGTTAATACCCAGGTATGAAAAATAATCCTGGGAGACCTTAAAGGGCAAACTAGACGACTTTAAAGGACTCCCACAAAACAGAGCCTGAAACTGCACCGTTATCATTGAATTGTAAAAATTCTGCAATTTTAGTAGATAGGTAATCTGTAAAACAGTCATTTAGATATAAAGAGGGGTTGAATTTCTCCCCAATGAAGTGTCTTGCCCAAGGACACAATGACCGAGACTGTCCAAGCCAGGGCTCGAATCGGCAACCTTTCGATTACAAGGCGACCTCCCAACTCTTGAGCCACGATCGCCCATAACTAAAAAACTGTGATAAGTGGAACTAATCACTTTCGAAATAAGCCTGGAATCAATAAGAAATAGTTAATTCTACTGAAACTGCCATGGACAGGGGAGAAAAAAAGAGTATTGCTTTTGTAACGGATGCTGGTGCCTCCAAATGTCAACCAAGCCCAAAGATTTAGTAAGAGTATTGAGTACAGAAACAGCTCTCAAAGTTGGGGCCAGGGACACAGAGGACCTATCCAACAATGGATCAAACTAACAATTAAAATCACCACGATAATGATATTATGGTCATTGTATTGTGAGACGAGATTGAATATTTTACTAAAGAAGTCAGGGTATATATCATGTTTAACGAAAGACCATATATGGATAATCGCAAACACTGAAATACATTTCTTGCACACAGAAATGAATTTTGTTCACTCAAATTAAACTTCTGTTTGCTCAAAATAATTTTCAACATGCAACATTTGTGCTTGCAAATTTTTTTATGTGCGCTCAGAATAGAGGCACTAAAATAATGCCATAAACATTCAGGTGTCACAATAAAATGCCACAAAAATTATTTGTGCAGTTCCTATTTCCCATCCACAACACGACAGAGGAGCAGATCACAGGCATGACACAATTTTTCAATGGGTTGGTGCACTTTCCCACTGGTGAGAAACATGTATGTTTTTTTTCACTTGTCCTTTAAAATTCAAATTTTTACCAATTATTTCTGCACTACACATGGTGAGAATATTCAGGAAAAAACATGGTGTAAATTATTTATCATAACTCTGTCTTTACTTGGTCTATCAACACAATTAAAAGACTGTTATACAGTTTAAAGTCCACACTTTCAACATAGAGACTAAAGCATGATTCATCTTGCTGATATGTCATCTTAAATTGGTGATGTGATTTTATTGCGCCAGTACCTCAGTCGACACCAGAGGGTTAAAGAAATTATAGGAAAGCTTACCTAAAAGAGTCCAAGCTGTGTTGAGGAATGAAGGTGGTCATATCAAACTCTGTATAAACTCTGTATGTAAAATGTTTACGCATCTTTCAAGTGATTACTGCACCTATACCCATTGTCCTCAAGACTTTTGCACAGTATTGCATATATATTTCAAAATAAAACAAATACAACGAAAACCCCCCAAAAGTTGATTCTGTTCATCTGGATGTAGTGTTTTCAGTGAAGAAACGTTTCGTCACGCATCCAAGTGACTTCTTCAGTCTCAGCTGACTGCAGGTTTCTCCAATCTTATAAACAGTACATTTGCACAATGGGTGAAACTAACACTACTGAATGAACAACTGGTTGTGACATCAGTTCATTTATCATTAATATACAAATTGTCATGACCACTGATCAACAACCGCTACGTCCAGATGAACAGAATCAACCTTATTGGATTTACTTATCTGGTTGGTTTAGCATGCATCAAGACAGCCCAGTGGAAAACTGAAAGCACTGCCTCCATTCATGTGATTGTTAGAAATCTTAGGTTTTTAGCTAATCCATCTAGCTAAAATTCTGCACAGAAACAAATGAGAAACAGAATAAATATGTTTAGGGAACTAAGTAATAGAAAATATAAAGAGATAATTACCAACTAATAAATGAATAAAAACAAGGTTAATAAAAGATTGACAAGCACATTACACCACAGATGTTACATTATGCAAATTATTAACAGCATACATCCCCTTTCAGTGCATTGAACGGGACATCCCTTTTGGCAGGTTTGGACTTCCATACCTTGCGCCTGTTTTACCGGTCTGTTACGTTTCCAGTTGTATGGCTCGCTGTGATTTGAAAGCCATATAATAAAACGGGTTTTTTACTTGTCCTAGAGATGTGTCAAAGCGACGAGGGTGTCTGGTCTTTAAGAGGTTTTCTGAGACTTTATTCAGAATGTAGTCCCCTTAAAAAGTTGTACGTTTACGAGACAAACAGGGATTAAACATAAAACGACTGTTAAAAAATCCCATACCTGCTCCAGTCGGCGAGTAGAAGTGAATCACTCAGACTCGTGAAAGGTTGTCCGACTGAAAAAGCCCGGAGCCTAAAATGGCTGCTGTGAGCCAACAAATTTACCCAGAAACACCGAAAATAGTCGGCTTGCTACTCCAGAAATATGACTCGTACTTACAAGTCAAGATGCGGCTACGTCTTTCCTGTTCACAACCACAGTGACTCGGTTCTTTATCTTCCTCCTCTTCCTCCTCACTCTGTCTCGCTACATATGGGGCTGCAGACCGCTTTCCGTTTTCTCACCAAGGAGACACACTCAAAGTCACCCCGAGCATCTGTGGAAAGCATTAATGAACCTACAAAAAAAAAAACCCAAAACAATTTAATCCATAAACGTTTCAGTTCAACAAGATTTAGGTACATTTAAAGTTATTCCAAGTGTTTTATGATGGAAAAAACCCACCGACTCCTTAATAAACAGCCTGAGGATAAAGTCAGTCTGAGCTCTCCAGATTAACTCAGCAGGCAGCAGCTTTCCACCCTCTAACGTTTCACCTGACCTGTTTACACATTTCACTACACCTATGGGAGTGTTCACACCCGATCCCCCTAGACCAAGCCTATTCAAATGGCGGCCCGCGGGCCAAATGCGGCCCAGAAGCAACCTGCGAGTGGCCCTGCCTTTGGTCCTGGCAGAAACACAGAGAAAATGCAAAAAATTAATTCATTAATTAATTTAAAAAAAATTAAAAATTCCTACAGCGTAGTGTAGACTGTGAATGCAACACTCCTAGTAGCCTAGCAATATTTAACCCACAATGCACCGTGATGTAAACATATTAAACAATCATCGTAATATATGATGCGACAACAGCATGTCTTTCTCACTCCAAAAGCACAAAATTGACAATGAAAACTGTCGGTTTAACCCTGCCTGGACTGACAAATACTTATTCATTTTACCAAGTTTAATAATCTTACAACCGGAGTTGTACCATGGTGAGGGTCCTGTACAGCCCAAGAGAGAGCTGCAGCATCTTCCCTTCGTGTTTGCTTCTTGGCGAAGAAGAAAAGGCCTTTCACAGATTCTGAAACAGTGAAATACTGCATGCTGGCCGTGGTGGATGCGGTGAAAAGTGAGGGTGACATCTGCTATTAAAAACGTACCCCTGTAGGACAGTTCAAATATTCGTAGAATTGAAGTTCTGGCGTCAGACGAGTTTGAAATGCTGTTAGATGACCTGAAGAAAACTGATGTAATGTCTATAGCAGGAGATCACTGACAGAACTGATAATGCACAGTTATGCGTACATGTCCGTTTTTTTGGATGGGAAATTGCTCGGCTTACTACCGTTAGAGGGACACACAGCTGGCGAAATGATGTTTGAGAAGATTTAAGCTCTTTTTGAGGAAAATTGTCTGGATATGAAGCGTGTCTGTATACTTGTGACGGATGGGGCTCCATCCATGGCAGGAAAAGTGAGTGGTCAGCGAAATATTTATTTTAATTTGAAAGGGAATTATCAAAATGTTTTTTGTTATTATTATTATTATTTCAAATGTGCAAAAAATTGTTTAGTTACAGCTCCCTTTTTTTTAAATGGACCTTTTGGTGTGCATTTGTGAGAGGTCACCATATTTACAGGGGAAAAGGAATAAAAAAAACTTGTTTTTCAGTACAGTTGTGTGGGTTTGAAATTGATCATGATCTGCTGCTTACTGGCTTCAAAAAAAATATCTGGCCCAGATAAATTCCTCGGTTTGAAAGTCTGCCCCAACTAACTTCGTAGTTGAATAGGCATGGTCTAGACCAACAAGCCTTTAAAATGAAGGAACAAAAGGCACAGAACAATAGAAACATTCAAAAACAACTGGGGAGACATAAAAATGACGGAACCAACACAATAACATTATAACAACCAAAAAGTAAAGTAAAGTTTCTACAAAAAACACAAAGGCTGCAGACAGACATAAAGAAGTAAAATAAGTACAAAAAACTGTGAAATAGCCATAGTAATAAACCTGGTAAATTATCATTTTATATCACTGGTTAAACAAGGACAAATAGTGTGCAACTGAACCATCAAATAACTGCAAGAGTTCCGTGGACTTGTAATTGTTGCTCTTGTCAAAGAGCTTAAAATAAAATGTAATGTTTTATGTCTGGGTAGATGTCTGTGCAGAGGAGAATGGTGGCTAAGCTTTCATCTCTGTTGGAAAACATCCCCCACCCCATGCAGGAAACTCTGACAGCACTGAGCAGCTCCTTCAATGGCAGCCTGCAGCACCCACCATGTGGGACGGAGAGATTTCGCACACTCTGCTGTCAGACTCCACAACAAAGACTTCACAGCTGACCAAACACAGACATCCACACATGTGCAATAACACTAAGTGTATTTTTTTCTGACAACATAGTATTTTATTCTATTGTATATATTATGTTATTTTTGTGTTATTCTATTCCATTGTTTTTCTTAGTTTTTGCTGCTGAAACTGCTGAAAAGAGCTAGATACCAGGGCTAGTGTTGGTCTAAATCCACTGTTTATTTATATAAGTGATATATTGACCCAAATCAACTCTATCAGGGCCAGCAAGGCGAGCACTGCTTGCCCATTAAAGGATTTTTTGACTGTTCCCTTATTCACAAGCAGTTTGTACAGTGGGAAGCACCATCCTTGGTTTGGTAGAGGTTTTACGCTTGATGCGCTGTTACAACTCCAAAAGTATTTGTATCTTCTCATCATAGAATTGGACTGTAAATATTTCACTTGTTAGGCAAACATCTAAACAATAGTATGATGTCAATTTTTTAAGATAAAATGCGATAAATTTAAACCAAAGGTAAGGCAAGCTTTTTCCCTGCAACTTAAACAGGGTTCTATCCCAAAAGCTTCTCTCATCAGGTGTTTACACCATATTTTAAATTACTGGCATTGCAGCTGGCCACTTTCTCTGGAAGCAAGCTTAACCCTGCTTGAAATCTGTCCTGCATGTTGATGTAATTGAAGTCTCTGTGTCAAAAGAATGGATTTAGAAAACTTAGAAGCCAGCAGCTCTTTATGGTTAGTTGCAAAATGTGGATAAACCTCTGGTCTTTGACATGAGCCTGATGGGAAACCAGAGTATAGACAAGTTGCTGCTGGCTGTGCAGTTACTCTCCATCGAGCACAGGCACCTGCAAGGTGACTATTGTAGGATATCTTGGACAGATTAGACATGCTGGGCTCAAATTTCTAAGAGTGCTGGTGAAATGGCCAGGGCTGGTACTGGTACTGGTCCTCTGATGGGAGGCTGTTGTTTGTCTTTTGTCCTTCATAATTTTCTGATATTTTCTGTTTATATATCTAACCTACAGTGCATTGTAATGTTGATAGATAAATGGGACTTCAATACAACCCCAGTGCCAAAACAGGTGGAATTTTGTGTACAATTCAAATAAAAACATACAAATTATCAAACCTTTATAGGAGTTTATACGATAGAGTTATAAAATAATATGATTATTAAATCCATATTTCATTTACAAAAGAACATTAAAAACATATTAGAGGTTTAAAAGAAAAATATTAGCTAATTTTGAATTTGATGGCAGCAACACAAAAAAGTCAGGAGAGAGGCAGCAAAATGTTCAAAACTACTAAGGAGAATCGCCTGAAGCAACATTTTGTAAATAACTAGGTTAACTGGGCAAAGGTTAATAACATTTATTGCAGCAGCTGGTCTCCTCAGTTCCCAGATGCTTACAGATTCTTGTTGAAATGTTTGGTTTTTGTTGTTAAGTGTGTGTAAGTGTTAAGTGTAGAAGTCTATGTGAAAGCAAAAGATATAGAGAAAACATCAGGGCTCAACCAGGCAGGATCTCAGATATCACAGACACATGATGATTCACTCACTGTAAATAAAACCAGTACCATGTTTAATCTTGGCCCTCGTGTCTGTTTGTTGCAGTTACAGATGTCATCCTAAGGGTGGAGTCATTGTTCTGTTGCTTTAACTTGCAACGGTGAGCAGCAGCAGCGCAGCAGCAGCAGCGCAGCAATGCAACAGAACATATTACTGGGGATATAATTTTTTTCATACAAATATGTAAAGAGATTTGTCTTTATGACCTAACAAAGGCAACAAATAAAACAGTTTTCTTGTTGAGAGTCATCTGGTAGAAGTACACAGTACATCACAATTGAGCTGCTGCTTAACCTCCCAGCTCCCTCTTTCATAGTGTCCAGCTCCGTCGCCTCAACCACACAGAATATTTCCTGTAGTAACAACGTGTCTGAAGCTACTACTTCCTGCTGTGTGCTACATCAGAGAGAGAACAAGAGTGGAAAACATTCTGACCTGATTCTCCTTCTACCCACAGCTCATTTGTAAAAGCATGAAATTCATTTCTGAATAAAGCTTTGAATCAAACCGAGGAGTTCTCCTCTCACTGTTCCTGTGTGGTCAGTTTAACTTTTTCAGAGACAAACAGAGAAGTTTGACTCTTTCTTTTCCTCCTCACGCTAAACCTGCCTCCTCTTCTGTGTTTGTGTATATGTTGCATGAATGCTCACTTGATGACTTCAATTCAATTTTATTTATATAGTGCCAAATCACAACAACAGTCGCCTCAAGGCGCTTTATATTGTAAGGTAGACCCTACAATAGCTGATGGGGGTCTACCTTACACCTACAACAACTTCACAAGAAAAACTAGTATGTCTTTTGTTTCTCTGAAACTTTTACTTCTTTATAACAATCAACTCCTCTGAGTCTTTTTTCATTCATTTACCTACTTTTGGTTTCTGAGCTGAAGTAGCCTAATAGTGCTTAGTGTATAGTTATTATCTCCAAAGAGTAACTAAACTGTTTTATTAAGAACTCAATTAATTGGACTTTAACCGTTTGTCACTCCAATGCCACTTCCTCATGCTTATAAATCTGGCTGCTCCTCTGAAGCAGTGGAGTCAAGCATAAGGCCCAGAGACCAGGATCGACCAGCAAGACTCTAAACTGGCCCACTGGAAATGTGTAGGGGGGCACAGATTGTGGATTTTGAACTGTATTTTTAACTATAACTGCATTGGATTTATGATATATGGATTTCCTGTTTAACCTGTTATGTTGGCTCTACTGGGACTGAATGAACATCATGTTTTACTCAGGAAAACTTGTGAGTGATACCATAAACTCACCAGGAAGGTGGTCACTGTTTTACTCCTGCCGGTTATTGCCTGGATCATGAAGACTTTCACTAGAAAGAGGACTGGGATCCAGTGGACACTTTGACTTTGCTGATTATCTTACATTCCAGGGAATTAACATCAACAGGCCAAGAACCTGGAGGGTGAACCTCTAGAACAAGCAGAGTCCTTCACGTACATTGGCAGTGTGATAGATAAGCACATTTAACCAGATACAGATGTGATTATCAGGCCCAGATGAGGAAAACATCTGCCGACACACCAAACTGCATCAACACTTCTGACATGGAGACCTACAAAACCTGCCATGGACAAACTGAACATGGCAGTGCCTGAGCCAAACCCTTCCACCCCAAAACCTCAGCAACACAGCAGGTAGCACAATGGAAGAAAATAGTCTGAGATGAAGGTGGGATGACTTTGGTACTCCCTAACAAAGCCAAAAACACTAGAGACTCCCTCACTGGGAACCCATGAAGAAAGAGAAAGCAGGGACAACCATGAAACACTTTCCATCCAGTCAAGACCTTGTTCCAGACATCAAAGTGACAGAAGTGGGATCAAGACAGGTAGTAAATAAAACACAGACCGAGCTGGTGGGCAGGTGTAGATAGACCTTGTTCCATGAAGGGAAAAGGGGCTAGACTAACCTGAAGTGTTTTCTCATTCCTGACGCATAACATACCGACGATTTGTCATGTCCCGAGGCGGCCCATGGGAACGCGAAAGGTAACCTTCTGCATCCCTATGATATATTCCAGATTGGGGATGAAATCCAATAGTATGATGCTCCCGACGCTAAGACATGTTCCAGCCATGTATTCCAGCCCCAAACCTAGCCTTAACGATAACCTTATCCCTAACCTTAACCACAACATCGTGTTAGAAAGTGTTTCCAAAGCGATTCATGGTGAGAAAGTAAGATGAATGTACACGTGTAGATTCAGTCTTCTCATGTTTATTCCTGTTTCCGCACGTGTAACATAGGAACGTGTTGGGTGGCCGAAAGCGTAACATACTGACGATTTGTCACATAGTGTAGCATGTTATGCTTTTGGAGTGAGAACGTGTTGAATTTTTCATATACTTCTATACATCTTATCAATATAAGAAATGCAAGACCTGACCCTCCTGCTGTTAGTGAACCTCCAGCTCCCCCGTCCCTTCGTATGTATAATGTGTTTTTTTAATGTTTCCCATGAGGTCTGTTAGACTAGTGATATCTCGCATACAGCTTCACTTTAAGACATAAGTGTGTGTGCTAACAGCATCTTATTAATGTGGTTCGGTTAATTTACTGTAGACTAACTGACATTTCAGTAAGGGGATGTGTGAGTGTAATGCTGATCCTGTAGGTGTGTTAATCTGACGATTACAGCATCCAATCTTATCAACACAATAAAAACGCACGCACTCATGTGTTGTTCCTCTTGTAGGTGTGGAAAGGTTAAATGTGTCTGAGAAAGGTCATGGAGATGGAGAGATAAGTAAAAGGTTTGTGTGTGTAGGAGATAATAATGGATTGCGTTTATATAGTTTACTTACTATATACTTTACAATACCCCTATTCATTCACACACTGGTGGAGGCTACAGTTGTAGCCACAGCTGCCCTGGGGCAGACTGACAGAAGCGAGGCTGCCATATCGCACCATCGGCCCCTCTGGCCAACACCAGTAGGCAGTAGGTGAAGTGTCTTGCCCAAGCTCGAACCGGCAGCCTTTCAATTACAAGATGAACTGCCAACTCTTGACCCACGATCGCCTCAATGTACAAGCTGTTGTCACAATTCCACTTCAGGCTGAAATATTTTTATTCCTACACACTGTTAATTACTCCTGAAGATAAGCCCTTTGGTCACTTTATCACCAGATTTAGGTTTAATGAGCTTTTTATTAAAAGAACCACTGATGTGGAGACACAAGAGTGCGAGCAGGTCAGTCTTTCCTGCCATTTCAGTGATATATCAAAATGAGAGCTCAGATTACTGAGATCCTCACCACTACCACTTCAAGGAATTTCACATACAAGTGAGTCAGAAGGATAACCTAATCCATAGCCCCATCAATCATATTGAATGGATATGTAGTTTGATTAAAACATCTGCTGAAAACACATTTTAGAAGGACAGCATTTTTTTGTATTTATTTTAATTTTTTATTATATTTAAATTTGCATATTGTTTTCAATATGCATTTCATTTCATTTCATATGTGTGTGTGTGTGTGTGTGTGTGTGTGTGTGTGTGTGTGTGTGTGTGTGTGTGTACTTTTCCACTTTTTTATACCCCATGTTTCAGGTTTCCCAGTAAAACTTCTGTTTTTCAATGGGACTTTTGAATGGCAAAAACAGCAAACTCACCATATGGAGCTTTACAGCTAAACAGTGCCTCCGCTGTCACCCTGTCACCTGCAGCCGTGGATGCAAGTGCCAGGGTGGGGGTATCGATGTAAGCGTTGCAGGGGCGGGTTAGGGCTCCGCGTGACCAAGGATGTGGGAGGATCGGATTTGTATAAAGTGGATCAGGGTCCGGGCTCCTCTCACCTGTCCTGCACTGAAGGACAGGACTGAAGCGAAGGCTCGTTTTCTTATTCTTATTTTCGTGCGCTCCTGGGAGTTGGTTTAATTAAAAAAAAAAAAGGAAGCAACGGGAAATTTAAACCTGCAGCAGCAAACTGCACGGGACTGTGACGATTTTCTTCCATCCATTAGAAAGTCTACAGCTGACAAGTGAGTGATTTTTTTGCTGGTTTAAATGGAAAACATTTAGACCGCTACTGTCTCTTGTTTATTCTTGTGGAGATATTAAAGTCCGTATGTTTAAGAAAGGATGATGATAATGTCAGTACATGAAGTGATTTTATTCACAGTGTCTAATGAAATCTTGATTGCAGTCATGAGCCGCTGGTTGGTGCTGCTGGTCAGTTTCGGGATCGCGCTTTTGGCGTGTTCTCGCTGCGGGCAGGCGCGCGTCGGACAGAATTCCGTCAGTACGGAGATCCTCGGGGACAGTGACGCGCTGCCGATAAACAGGAGCGCGTGGGAGCCGAGAGTGGACCTGACGGTGAGTCTGTTACCACGATGCGTGTTTCAGTCTGAGGGGGTTCACAGAAGTCTCAACAAGTCTGTGCTTTGAAGTCAATCAAATCAAACATTTGCCTCTCACACAATTTAAAGTCCCACTTCATGCAAATGTAATGGCAAGTAAGAAATGAGTGAAAAATGTATTTTTATAGGAACTTTCTAGTTGGATAAAACAAAGGGCTAATCAATTTAAAAGCCAAAACAGCATTGGTTACAAAAGCACATTTAAACAGATGACTTTTTAGCTGCTTTTTAACCGAGTCCACAGATCTCACTATTTACATATATAAATATGACTTTTAACTAATTTACTACTAATTAAAGTTAATTAACAACTTTAGCTAAACTTTTAGCTACAATGTTTCTAAACTAAATGGACAGGGGATTTTTGTTTGTTACGATGTATTTTAATATGTAAATTTTATTGACCAAACTATTACAATGTTACAAAGCTCATTAAAATTTTATTGGCCTTTAATCTTTAGTTGTATCGAAAACGTTAGTTTAGTTGACTCTTTCCTACTCCCTGTAAAGTTATGTGCTGCTGACAAAGCACTTTTGGACTCGGGTCCTTTTCATTGTTAAATAAAACACACACACACACACACACACACACACACACACACACACACACACACACACACACACACACACACATATATATATATATATACAGAGAGAGAGAGAGAGAGAAATGTTTATTTGCAGTGTTGTTGCAATGTTTCAAAAGCTTTATTGACTGAACATTATTGGTTACATTGCTTCAGTTTGACAGGAGTTTTGGTCTTTTTTTGTTGTTTCAAACGTTTGATTGGTGGGAATATTACAAGTCTGTATTCACTTTCAAATTACAGGTACCATCTGGGTTACCAGTCACTTATAATATTTACATGTTTCTAAACATTATCATCAAGAACATCACATTGTTTCAAAAAGTTCATTGGCCTTTTTTATCAGCAGGATACTGTTTCAGGTGCACTTCTCAGCTGTTATGATGCTGTAAGCTTTCGTGATAAAAAAAAAACTATGATGATGTTTTAAAATTTCTTTGGCTTTCAACATCATCGGGAAGGATAATAAAAGGTTTCTTTGGTTTATCAACTGGACTGTTTTGCCCCAATGTACAGTTTTAAGTTGTAATGTTGAGGTGTACTTTAGAAGAGTGCTACAAAATTAAACGCTGATAATTCTGCGTTGAGCCTATGATGTCGCCTATGCAAGCCTATAATGAGTCGATGACATTTATGATCCATTGACAATCAGAGGAAAACTAGCCAGAAATGCATATTCGGATTTCAGGCCAATCACAATATTTGAAGACTGTGTTTATGTTACATGTAGTTACTTTTTCAGAGAGGTCTGCAGTTAAGACTTACCTATGGCGTAGATTTAGTCCAGAAGTATAAATCTCACATAAAGTGGCTCAGGGCACTGCAAGTCAGAGTAGTTTAAGCCCTCCGTTTGTTATTTCATGCTATTTTTTCACCAGTACGAAAAGATCACCTTAAATTACAAAACGAAAACCAGGTTCATTTGTTACTCTGTAATAATGTTTGTGTGTCTGTCTGCAGGTCTATCAGTGCATGAGTGACCTGGAGTGCAGAGAGGGGAACTACTGTCACACCTCCTCAAGACGTCCTGCCCACTCCCACTGCAAGACCTGCCGCAGAAGGAAGAGGCCCTGCCTCAGGGACACAATGTGTTGCCCCACCAACCACTGCAGCAACAGTTTAGATGCTCCTCTACAGAAAACTTCAGTTTAACATTAATGACAATAAACTATTCATAATTAAAATTTTATCAAGTGTATTATCTCTATGTTCTTCCTGCGGCAGATATTTGTGTTCCTGATGTGGACGGCTTTGTGTCTGAGAGGATTCCAAACACTGATGGAGCGCTAAGCCCGCTCACCAAAAAGAAAGGCGGGAGGCAGGAAGCCAAAGGATCCCCTGGCAGAAGTGAGATTAGTGTTATAAACCCGCAGTATGTTTCCCCCTGCCTCCTTCATGTTTCTCTAAGGGTTTGTGTGTTTGTTTCAGGTCAGGTCGGGAATCCTTGCTTGCGCTCATCCGACTGCTTGGACGGTCTGTGCTGCGCCCGTCACTTTTGGACTCGCATCTGCAAGCCCGTGCTACGTGAAGGACAGGTTTGCACGCGACACCGACGCAAGGGGAACCACGGTCTGGAGCTGTTCCAGCGCTGTCCCTGTGGGGACGGACTCATCTGCCGGACACTGCGAGAACCCGGTACCCAACTAGCTGCAGTGTCACGGTTCAACTTCTCGGCAACCTCATCTCGCTACTCCTCAGGACTGTCTTCAGGCTCTGCATCACCAGCCAAGGCAAGGCTTCATGTGTGTCACCGATCTAAATGAAGTGGACAAACCGAAAGAATGACTAAGGACTAGTGAGTTGCTGCTTTTGCCAATGACTTACCTCAGAGACAGAAAATGAAGACCTGTGGAATGAAGGGAGGGGTGAATAACATAACTTGTTAAATGCATGACAACACCCGTGGCCCCTCCCCCACTACATCTTACAGTGTTTCTACATGCTAATGCTAATTAGCTTCCTGCCAGGCTGCACTGACAGGCAAACTCAGCAGGAAGTGAAACTCTTTGTGGTGCAGATCTTGTTTCCTCATTTGTGTCTAGACAAGCAGAAACCACTTTGAAATCCAGTTTGACCCCATTTGCACCACCACGAAAAGAACCGGTGTTTGATCCCTAATGCATATCTGCTGCAACTGCCTCCAGCACATGTATTCATGTGCTGAGATTTTGAAGAAACCTGAAATGAAAAGGTTTTGTTTTCATATTCCCAAAACAAAGATAACATCATTACTTCGTTACTAAAGAGGAAAAATAGTTATCAAACAAACCTGTATTAGCTAAAACGTTGAATTAAAACTAAGAAGGAATACTGAACTCAATCTTCAAACACTTCTCCACAATTTCAACCTGTAAAGAAAAAAGAAAATAAGCTTTTACAGGTGTTAAACTAGGTGATGATTTTCAACTGAAGCACTCAAGAGGTGCAAATATTACTCTAACCCATTGGACTTCAGAAACCCAAGCGCTAAATTTTCTGAAAAAATACATTTGTAGTTATATAATGTTACAATAAAATAATGTTCCAAAACAGTGCCTCAGATATGTTAACCTTCTCTTCTTTTGTCAAATCAGAGGCATCTAAAAAAAAATAATAATGTGCTTGATGCTGGAGCACGAAATTTTACCAAGAACCTTCAAATTTAATATTTTCTTTAGGAAAATTTATAGTAATGATAAAGTAAGGAACCAAAAATTCCAAAAAAAAAAAGACAAAATAATTCAATAAAATAATTCAAACAGTTTTTTACACAAACACATTTAAAAACATCCTCAAGTTTCAGGTCTGAGGCTGTCGAGAGGAATTACTTTCCTGTAAGTGGTGTCTGTATATTTTTGAGTTAATGTTGGTGTAAATATGTATCAGATTTAATTGGTTGTAGCACTCTGCTGATTTTATACCAGCAATTATAAAGGAAATTGTAATGTAACATAAAACTATTTGTCAATCTAAGTTGAACATAGTTGAACTCCTTAAGATTTACCTTTTAAGCTATATGGCTGAAAGTATGCCATGTTTGGAAAGTGTAATGTCTGATAACAACCCACAAGATTTAAGTTGTCATTTCCAATCATAATCAGTTATTTTTTCTGTTTCATTATTGTTGGGATACTTGTAAGATGCCCATTTCTATTGGATTTGTTATTGTTTACTAGCAGTTAGCTTGTAGCAAGTGGTAGCCTAGATCATAATAAATGTAAGTTGTGACTGTGATTGTTGTTCTTATTTGTTTTTTGTGTATCTAAACAACAAAATGGGCTTAAGTATATTTGTTTTGTGTGTTAATCTAAGATGTGTTAAACTGTTGTGGCTTTGTATAGAGCTAATGCTGCAATTTTGGTTAAAAGTAGCGTTTAGCATACTTTAGACAGAAAATCTATCATTAGGAGTTCTGTTCTGAACTGAGAAAAATTAAAGTTTTTAAGTAGAAAGGAGACCAGTAAGAAGGATCCCTAGGCTCTCTGGTCACTTGAACAATACAATGCAGTAAGATTGAACTTGAGTACATAAAACTAGTGGTTAAATCACATCCTTCTCATGCTTTAATATCTGTTACAGAGAGCCCTGCATCTGCTCAGATCACATGCTTATTTAATGTTTTTCCACTTAGCTGATGGGCACTGATAACACAAGCTAAAGTGGGAAAGGAATCATCTCCAAAGGTTTGTAAAGAAAGAGGTTAAGTGAGGTCTGATCTGATAAAAACCGTTTTAAAGGTCTACAAGAATAAAACTACAATCTGATGGCATGTGGGTATGACCATGTAAGGATTTGTTTGTTTGTTTGTTTCCTAAAACCTTCCTTCCAATTGATTGTGATCTTTTGAAGGTCTGGACAGGACAACAGAAAAGAACATGTGTTGGTTTCATTGTGGCTGGTAGCTGCTGGGCATAGCTGTTCTCGCTCTGTGTATGGTTGTCATAAAGATAACAAACACACACAGTGTTTTCCATACCCCTCCAGCTGTGTTTCCCAGCTTCCCTGTTCACATATATTCTGCGTGGGTGATTTATCTGCATGAGCGTCACGTTCCTCGTTTCCTTCCTAAGTTTTCCTTGTTGCTCTCATGATAACCTGATTCTTAGCTCTTAGCTTAGTTCCTCCAATCACCACTTGAGGCTGACTCCAACAGAGAGTCCATCCCAAAGAATCCATGTTAAAATAAACTAAGCATTTATGGTTTTGGCCTAGATCTAATCCTAATCTGCCCCTTCATACTAACATTACCAGCGGGTGATTTCTTTGTTATTATAACTTACTTTTTAAAATTGTATTAAGGTTTAAACTTTGCATTATTATCCGCATGGTCAAAGTGAAATAAAGCAGGATATAAGACAACATCTAGTCTACTATATGTATATGTTTGGACCAAACCGGTAAAAATCCCCTTTCTTCTACTGTATTGAAATGTAACTACACAATTAATCAACGAATTAACTTAATGTAAGAAAAAGAAGCGTAATTGCAACAATATGTCTCGGTTTTTCTACATGACAATGAAATGCAGCTGTAGTAAATGAAAGAAAGTGAAAGTGTTTACAATTACAAAACCATCATTTTGGTGTCATATGAGGCAGCGGCTATGGGGCAGGTCTTTATTGGTAAGAAAAGTTGTAAATCTGTTAAAAGAAAAAAAAATACAATTAAAAGTTAAAAATTTATGTCCTCCTTCACATTTTCCAAAGTCGTCCAACAGGCTAGATTGGAGTGTTTGCCAGGCCACTACTGGCCCCCAAGTCTAATGTTTCACACCGCTGGTGTAAGGGCTCACTGTTAAACATGTCTGTATTTTCTCCAATATGTTTAAATTGACATGGCAGTAACACCATAAATTTAATGTTTTGAGTCAGTTTTTAAAATTAATTTTGTGTTAGTTTTGGTTTTATGGCAACCAGTGTTGGGACTAACGCGTTATTAAGTAACGCGTTACAGTAACTACGTTATTATTGTGGTAACGAGCACGGTAACTAGTTATGCCAAAACCAGGAACGCGTTACTCGTTACTGGGATTTAGATAGGCTCATTATTCGTTACTTCGTGTGGTGGCTATCGCGGAGCTTCCACAGATTCAATAACATTAGCAAGTGGTGGAGGCCAGCAGGTGGATGAAGGAAAAGGGAGGCAAGAGGAGAGACCCAAAGCGGCCGCCGGTCCGAGTATCAGGTGAACTGAACTTCAGGTAAGAAGTTATGACCTGCAGTCCATCTGGGTCAGATATAAACCAAGTTTAGGTGGAGTTTATTTTCGTTGTGCTGACTTTTCCGTACTGCGTGCTAGCTAGCATGACGGAGTTTCTATACAGCGGGGTGGGTGCTATGTTACTGATGTTGAACTTTATTTTGTTCATAAGGTTAATTATTAGAGTTGCCAACCGTCCCGTAAAAAACGGAATCGCCTCGTATTCAGAGAAAATATTACGCGTTTCTTATTGAGGTGAAAAGGAACAGTTTGTCCCGGACTTCAGCTACAATGAAAAAGACACAAAGCTGGAGTTATTCTGTGTCTTTGCTGCACAGCTGCCTCTTCTTCTTTCATTCTCTCCCCCTCCCTCTCCCGTTTCTACTTAAATCATGAAACTGATCAATGATCAGCTGATCGACTTTTCTCTCTTGTTTATTTATCGCCCACTTTGCCCCAGAAAGAGGAAACCAGCGGATGTCGCGCTAAACAACAGCAGCACGTTTAAGCTTGATCAGCTGTTGTTAGAATTTATTTAATATTAATTTCTAGTATCAGCTGATGTTTGCTGGAGCCACAGCTGTAAAGCTGCTGGTCATGATGACGGTTTGGTTATCTGGTGAGAGGGAAACATGAAGATGAAACCAGGAGATGTCCTTACTGGATCATCAGAGCTGTGATGGAGAAACAGGTTTACCTTTTAGTTAACATGAATGAGTTGAAGGGAAGTTATGAACTGTTTCTGAGAGACAAATAACACCAGGATCCTTTTCTAAGTAGCTGACAGCTGGTAATTGTGCAGGGGCGGGTCTAGCAAAGTGTTGCCAGGGGTCCATGTAGGACATTAAAAGGGAAAGGGGGGCAGAAGGAAATACTTTCTTATTCTCATTTCAAATGTCTAGCTTTTAAAAAAAATAATTATCTGAGTCTTGCAACAAACAATTGATAGATTGATGCATATATACCATCAAAACAGTGTACATCACTGTCACAACAGTGTTTATTTTCATTCAAAGGCTTTATGATTTTTCCTATAATGATGGGCCGGTCTCTAGTCAAAATGCCCGAGACGATTTTTTTGTCCCAGTCCAGCCCTGTATGCAGCTCATCTGCAGTCTGGTGTTACCAACATCTTCCTATTCAGAAGGCAGAATTTCCGAGTTCTGAGTACAGTCGAAAGCACCACGACTGCAGTTTTTGTGTTGGATGTAAAAAGCAGGCTAGGATAGAATCAGGCGTGGGATTTCTCTCGTGGAAATGTGCACATTATCTTTTCCTTTCTATTGGTAGGTGGCACAGTGCACTTGTGGCAAGTAAGCAAGCTAGAAGACTGACAGTCTTGCTGGGTATCCAGTTACGGAAGCAACACATCAACAAGAGAATTCTGAGTAAAACCAAAGTTACTTTCCCTAGTAACTAGTTACTCTGAAAGTAACGAGTAACTTGAAGTAACTGAGTTACTTTTGATAGAAGTAACTAGTAATGTAACTAAGTTACTAATTTAAAGTAACTTACCCAACACTGATGGCAACACACCGTGAGTACTTTTCAGTCTAAAGACATAAAAATAATACATGTAACGAATTGCAGCATTATACTGTAATTTGCAAGTGTTTACAGTGTAAGTACCATTTTACAATGTTATAGTAAGCTAAGTTAAATAGTTAAATACTTTAAATCTACATTACAGTAACTATACGGAGGTTCACTGCAATTCCAATTACCGTGAACAAATTGTAAATCAGTGATGAATGAGCGATGTATTATCAATGAGCTGCAGTCTGTCATAAAATGTCTTTTCATTTGACTTTTTCAGGAAAAACTGAGAGTAGATGATTGCTCTGTGGGACAGTTTTCCCTTAAAACCTGCTTCATTATTTACAAGTCATGAATTCTGTTTGCCTGTTGGTTTTAGTTGATGCAAGCTGACAGAAGATTTAATCACAACAGGGAACACAGGGAACATCAGTGTCAGGAATTGCACGGATGTTTGTTGCTTTTATAACCCAATAAAACTGCAGCGAGGCACAGATAGGACCGGCAAGTTATAGTTTAACCAGTAACCACTCCCGTAAATACACATTCAACCTCCCATATCAAGCATATGCAGTCCTTGAACCTTTTGCCTCTCCTGGTAAAGTAAAGCAGGTAAGACTCACTTTTGTTTAACTACAGTTTCAAAGCCTTTAAGTTAAAGAAAATATTACTGTTCATGACCCTATGAGACCTCTTTCTTAAAGGTTAGTTAGTGTAATGAGTTTTTTTTTTACAATTAGAATAAAATAATGTCTCAATAAAACTTTGACTAATGAATTTTATAGCTCCACTCGTTTGTCCTTCGACTTC